TTGCTTGTTGCCTTTTTTCTTTTCTTTTATTCTCCGGTGAACAGTCCACTTAACACCATTCAGTGTGGACTCAAATCAATGCGAAGCGCAGATAAAGGAAAAACAACACAAGGAATGCTAAAACGTGCTTTCAGCTTGTCGCTGTACAAAATCACTGAGTCGTAAATAGTCTAAAAAGTTAATTTACTAGTTTCTGAAAAATTATGAATTCTTTAGTGTTTGAATAAAGAAAAGAGAATTAGATGTAGCCATTGTGGTTTTTATGTCGGTAAGCCAACTTTAATTGACTTAAAGTTATTTAATTCTATAAATACTAGCTTAAAAATGTATTTCCAGTAGTTATACAATAAACGTTTTGTACTCCTGTATGTCACCCTACAGCTCTCTTTATCTGGGACTATCTTACAAATTCTCAATACTTATTAGAGATGTTCAGAGATGTCAACAACTAACAGCTTTAATACCTCAATCTACTTGGACAACAGGATCTAGTACAAGAGCAATGACAATTTCACACCGAGTGTACTAAAAGATTAATCCGCAAGGAAAACATTATTTAATGATATGATATTGTTAAATAAATATCATCGGTGCCTTAATTGGAAGCACATAATAAATATTAGAAATATATATGTAAGAAATCGGGGCAATGGGAAAGTTTGGCACAGAGTTCTGTAACATACTTCACGTAGAGAGCTTGGTCGGACAACTCATGTTACGTAATTTTCTTGTAGAATTCTGAGGTCTTGAAGTTTATTCAACTTTCAACATTTTTGATCGAGAATAAAATGAGAGTTACATAATAGAGAGAAATTATAGCAAATAATGCAATGATGCCATCGTTTAAGCGTAACAGCCCAGAGTTAAGAAAAAGGTGTTTGTTGAGTTCCCACTGATCGATTTAATCAGAGAAAATTACAAGTTAAAACCCCAAATGATGTGTCGGAAAAAGTGCACCCTTAAATAAGTAGAAACTGAAATTATGTGTTAAAGCTTATTACATAATCATGTTCAATGGTATTTGGAGTAGAGTCACGTAGCAACAAAGTCAAGACATACTACATGGCTTTCACAAGATCCGAAAGCTGATAAAGAAACGATTAGAAATCTTGTCCCCCTTTAAAACTTCTCATTAACTGACGTAAACTTGTGCGTAGCTTCTACAATATAAAAAACTGAACTTTCCAACCGAGTTACGAATATAGCACAGTTTGCGTTTATTTTAAACGATTATGACGACTAACCTCTTATCTTATTTCAGTGTTTGCTTTTGTTAACTAGGAGTCTGTTAGACTCGATGCCAACATTGCTAAGTACTAACACTTCTACGCACAGTTCATTGCCGGCTATATAGGTGACAAGAACATCGAAACACTCAGACAGGGATCTTGAAAAGGCGAGCCCGTATACGCAACATAGCTAAATATAGCGATAAACAAAAAGGTTGCAACAATATAATTCATTCAATGAAACCACCAGAGGATTCCTTTGAAGAAAAAAATATTGTCTCTCTCAGCACACATCGGACAAAAGTAATAATACAAAATTGAATCGTTAAAAACACTACCGTAGTATTTTATACGACATAATTCTAAACACAATTAATATATTATACATATATATATTAATATATGAAATGACATCCCAGATGACTATATTTCTACTATCCGCGAGATTTAAGATGATGTGGTTTTTGTAAGTGAGGATTCTAGTTGCATTTAACAAGCTTAAAGTGACTTATACTACCGGCGGTTATAGATCGGAGGACCATTATTCGACATGTTAAGTCAACAGCAATTAACAAAATAAATTCTTAACCTATTTTTTTACAACACCAAGCAAGCCGATTTAAAAACTCTATTGAATGCAAGAGTACTGGAGAATTCAATTCAGTCAATCACAGTTTAAACTTGGAAAAAATTTAATAATGGTGATAGTAAGACGAAGGTAAAATAAACGATAAATAACAGACGATCATACCGAGAGATACGTATTTTTCTCACTGTCGCGTGATTTGTAAGTGCTTACGCACGTAAATTTTACGCGCGTATTAAAATAGAGGCAATGTATGAAGTGTCGCGCGTTTAAGCTTACTCGCGGCACATCATACATTGCCTCTACTTTATTTACGCGCGTAAAATTTAAGTGCGCAAGCACGTAAGAATTACTCGACAGGGAAATCCAGCCTATAATACGGAGCTCCTTACGGTAACAGAACTAAACCTTAAGGTATTTATGGCGGGAATGGCCCGGGCATACACGTTCAAAATCGTCGTAACTTGCAAATTTTAATGGCTATTAGCAGAAAATAAACCTTAAATATCACAGGAAGGAAAAGTCAAAGATTTGCAAACACCGATATAGCACAGCTTCTGCGTTTTAACTTAAGTCTTTTATGGTGGCCGTGTAAGAGGAAGGGGTACCTATACCAGTTCGCAAACACGTACTCTACAGATTTAAAGGCTAGTGGTGGAAAATAAACCTTTTATATCACTGGAAGGAAAAGTCACTCATTTGCAAATACATATCTAGCACAGCTTTTGCTTTCTACTTAAGGTTTTTACAGTGGCTGTGTAAGAGGAAGGGGTACCTATACCAGTTCACACACACATATTTCATATTTCACAGATTTTAAAGGCAAATGACAAAAAATTAACCTTGAATATCACAGGAAGGAAAAGTCATACATTTGCAAACACATATATAGTACAGCTTCTGCGTTTTAGCTTAAGGTTTTTATAGTGGTCGTGTGAGAGAAAAAGGTACCCATACCAGTTTACAAACACATATTCCACACTTTTATTGTGGCTAACATAAAGCTGAATATTAGTACAGGAAACGTTGATATATACGCAACTGATGGCTACATTAACGGCATAATCAAACTAAGAAACGACAACCAAGCACAAGCTTTGCAAGTTCAAGAAAAAGCAGAACAATTCTTACTTTTTACCACGCATTTAGCGGACTCACAGCTATGCATTATAAACGACGTTGCGGGTACTAACAGCTCTTTGTAGTCTACCGATCATGGTGATTGCATTTTGCAGGCGGGCGGCAGTCACGGTTTTCCAACAAGCTGTTAAAAGCTTTGAACACAGTAGAAAAAACGGAACACACATCATCGCAGAGAGCATTGATCAATGTAAACACCAGATAGTAGCTACGAGTGGTCACATTGTCGTGCATGGTACCCGCTGGATAAACTCTCGCTTGACATCTATTTAGCTTTACCTCCCCACACGTTAGTTTGTAAATATGTGATTCAAGCGCTACCACACGAGGGCTGTTAAAAAAGCAACAACAATGACTAGCGTTAGTGATCGCATTAATTGAGAGGAGTAGAAAAAACAACGCAGCGAGAAAGATCTAGAGTTTGCCAAAGAAAATCGCCAAGAGGGGAACAACACCTGTTCCAAGGAAATTATACACTGATTAACATTATGACAGTTGTGTGAAATTTTGTTTTAGGATGTTTTGTGATAAACCCTTGTCTTTTATTCTTGAGTACATTATTAAGAAAGAACAGTTTTGTTGAAAAACAAAATGCCTAGACTACCCCCAAGGTGACGAAGGGCGGTAGTAGAGAGTTCCACACTTTAGTGATGTCACAGGTCACCTAAATCTTCAAGGTTGTTATCACCAGCGTTGACGATCACGCGAATATTAGCTGAAAGCTACTGATCTACTTTTGTATTCCACCAAACAAAATCATGCTGCTTGTTAGATAATATTGCCTACCTATATTTAGAAATCAGATACCAGCTTCCACGTAGTGTAGGTTAGATGCTACTGCAAGGAGAGTCTGTAGGGACAATTGCCTGTGTATTGCATTTTGTCTTCTTTTTCTAAGGACCGAGACATTTTGGTCTTCATAGTTGCATTGATTAGATTTTGCTGCACAGACACGCCGCCGCAAACTTATCGCTTCGCGTTTAACGACTCATTAGGAGAAGGGAACGTCTCCGTCTCCGTCTCCGACGCAAAACCATTATGTACCGGATCACGAATGTTTTGTGCGAAAAAATTAAGTCAACGAGGAAAGAACGACCAGGAGAGAAACATTGACAGCGAGCTCTGCTCCTTTCTTTTTCCACTGAAAAAGCATAACTTTCAATTTTTCAGCCCTTTACTGATCTTTGAAAAAGACGGTTGGCGCGCCAACGGGCGCGCAGCGAAGAAAAAACTTGAAAGCTTTATACATCAATACAACGCTTCTTACTGGCCGCAAAAATATCTATTAGATTGTGCTTGTGCATTTGTTTGTTGATTTCTATAAGTGAATTTTATTTTGTGCACAGGCTTCGTCAGCTTTCACACCAATGGGCGTAGCTTTCCCACAAGAAAAGAGGCAAAGCCGAGACTCTAACGATTCCCACAGGTCACGTAACAGAAAAGAAGGTTTCGAGGAAGCAATTAGAACATGTACCGGCAAAGGAACCCGCAAACGTCAATCGTGTCACCGTTATATTGGTCGACGTGTTGACTATTATTATCGTAATCTAAAGTGATAATCACCCTCTTGAAGCAATTTACCCCTTACCCCGCTACTTCCTAAACAGAGTGACCGCAAATTACTTATACAGAAAGTTTCGCAGTCGTTCTAGAATAAATTGCGACTTTTACCACGGGAATTGGTCCAATACTGGAAGGGTTTCAATGTGTGAGTGGACATGCTTTTTTCGGCTTCACTTTGTTTGAGCGCCCGTCCTTTGCTATCGCAACAGGTTCATTTGGGCATGCGTCAAGCGACTCGGTTTGACGGAAGGGCAATTTAGCAGTCACGAAACTGTTGCTTTGTGGTTGCATATTAGTCAAAACAACATCATAGCAACTCACGAAAGGCTTCGGGAATTGCCTGATAGCCAATTTGATAATATTTAATTACACGAAAAGTCGAAGTACTTTTTTGGTCGAATTTTAACCTCATAGCAAAGATTTAAGCCAAAAATTAGGTGTTCTACCACAAAGGAACTTTTACGCTCATTTGCGCGGTAACCGTAACCTAAAATAACTATTACAAATTTCCAATAATTCCTGAAGGTTAAAACCTTGACATAGAAATTAGCCTTTTTTACGCTTCATGCCCACAAAACGCACGGGATAGTGACTTATACAAAAAAATTCTAAAATAGTTGAGGCAAACCTTAATCTTCTTGGGTGGATTTTAAGATTCAACTTTAATTTCAGGCGCAAAAATAAAATATGATAATATGTTCACAAATTTTAATTGGCGTCTTCGAAAGATTCCTGACATGAGTGAAACTTTTGGCTAAACGTCCTTGAACGACGTGGCAAAGACTGCCAGATATATTTTTAAAACTCTCTGTTTTTAAAATTGGAAATTTTTTTTAGGGTGCTTTTGCCAGTTTGTACTTAGCCGAACAATAAAATACGATGTAAACGGAAGATACGCATAATCTCGCATCAACGAAACAAAGCTGGGTTCATCCCATCTTTTTATTAAACAATGGTCAACTGTTATCTAAATACATTTGCTCTCTACAATTTGTTCCTCCCTTCTTCCGCTACAAAAGATCTCTTAGAACGCAGCTAAAGATGAGCTCTCGCGGGCACGTTTTACAAAATTAAAAGCAGCTATGAACCTATTTACAATGAAATTTAATTCGATCTAAAATTGGAGCTACTTCTAAATAACTACTCGTCGTTCCAACCAGCGACGATTCAAACGACAGAGCAAATGGGCAAAATTTTTAACACTCCTAACATATTTTGATAAAAAATATATTCCTAACAATAAATCGTTATAAGCTAATACATTCTCTTATCTTTGGACATTTTGAAATCTCTTTTGCGGATTGATGTTCTATGAAACATAGGTGTCAAGAAACGCCTCTTTCACAGCTAATTTTGCCTGCGGTTTGAAAGTTAACTCCTCTCGATCTCGTCTCACAACTTTTCTTTTTATATTTTAGTTTTTTCTTACAAAAGGTCATGAACAAACACGTTGGTTCTATACTAGAGGAAAGCTACATTATATAAAGATTGTTTTGGCAATGTCGCGATGCGTCGCTTTTTTAAACGAAATTAAATTCGTAAAACCTTCATTGAATCCAAATAAGAAGAGTGCGAACGCCCTCGGGACAAAGATGTGTTCATTACAATTAAAAATTTCTAAGGCTGCTAACGAGGTCTTTTGTGGTTAGTGTAGATAGGCGGTCCACGAGATATAAAGCTATACTTCAAAAGACTTCAAGCTTTCAGTTACTTAGAGGCCTTTCCGAGCCAAATGCAAGTCTTCTCCATGATTTGTCATGAGAGGAAAGATGAAGGCGAGAATTGCTTTTCTCGAATGGATTTCTTCAAATAAATGCATAAGAGGAGACAGTAAATAAACTCAAGCTATCATTCTTTAGTTGCGGCTGCTGGATGCATATATATTAAATACTCAAGTTATAGTTTTTTAAAAGCCTGCAACCGCTTCGAAATCTTACAAGCATGCTCTGAGGCCATAAACGGCTTCTTTTAGACATAAATGAATAGATTCTTTCCTTTCTTATACCAAAATGTCCTTATTTATATATAGTATATAGTCGATTTTCTTACTTTTAATAGCATAAAACGTAAAAATCTTTCCATAATATAAAACTTCAAGGATAATTCTTTAAAGAACTGAAACTATTCTTGTTTACTTACTAGTGGCTCAGTTCGTCAATTTTTAAAGGTTTATGGTTTAAGACTACCGCAATCTCCGCGAGTCTCTTTTGTTCACTTAAAGTCGATCTTTCTGTTTATGTCTCTTCTTTTGAGACAACAAATGTTCGACAGCTTGAGGTCTCCCTGAATTGGTCGCACTATATCAAATCTCTCCAGGTGCTGACATGTTATCCTATTCCAGCGATTGCCTTGATTTCTCTCATGATGCGACCTATGGAGTTCTTGCCCATTGGTACTTTATTGAACCAGATATCTCCCTTAGGCTTGTGCTTAGGGGTAAGGTAAAACGACGAGATACCAGGTGGGCGATGGCGGAGGTACACCTATACAAGACAGAGAGAAAAAGAGACAGAAATTAGCTTTTCATTCAGATTTTACAAAGGCACTGTTACACTGCTCATAGATCAAACGACTATTCATATTAATAGAAGCTTTATAAAAGTGATAGTACCTCAAAGGCTCGGACGGGATCGCGTTCGCTTCCATCGGTGGCCGCTACCCTTGCCTTGCATTTCTTTTTACTTCTCGGGCTGTCCTTGTCGTCATCCGCTCTCGGTCTTTTCGATCCAGCTTTCATGTGATCGATGATTATCTTTCCATCAGGGCCACGCGAGATGCGAAAGTCATCAATGCTAAGATCGTGGTGGGCCATTCTACCTCTGATTCCATGCATTACGGTGTTGATCCACCACTGCAGTCGAAGCAATGGCCTTGGCGCGTGCACTCCAATTGCTCCAGAAGCCCACATTCTCTCTAACTGCTCTTCAGTGATGCTTTCAACTACGTTTGGATGGTTTCCTTTGCCTTTACGCTTGAGCTCATTTCTCTTTGATACAAGGCCATAGTTAACTACGTCAAATTCCCGATCAGCTAAATCAAAATTTTCCACGGCGGGGGGACACTTTCTTTCGAGAAAGTATCGCCTCAGTCCATTTCTGTACGTTGTGAGAGTAACAGGTTCGTACTCATTGCCTTCTTTACCAGGTCGAGTGTCGCGGATCTCAAGAAAGAAATCTTTCAGCATTTCCATAGCCATTTGTCGAGTCACCGTGTTCATGTCTATCGATTTTCCGTACTTGTCTTTGTACCATTTCTTGAGCCTTCTCACCGATGTTTTGGTGCCTTCCACCGTGTTTTTACAGCGGTTAGCGTCGTCAACATCTTCGACATCGTGTGCGTCCGCACGGTTGGTGGGCTGCGATTTCTGTCGTTCAATAATTGGAGGTCGGTGACTGCTGGACACAGGTGAGAAAATTCGGCTGTCTTCTGACTTGGAAAAGCCGTGATTATCTGAAATGGACTCCGGTGGATCAAACGGTGGGAAGCCAGGAAACGGTCGGTAAAACTGGGGTGCTTTGGGTTCGTCGCTCGGCGTTTGATGAATGTAGGTGTACATTGACTGTGCGGCGGCAGTGTCGGGGAAAGAGGGGTTTAAGTTCGGGCCGTAAAACCGTTTGTTCGGTTGTAGGGCACTGGTTATGCTTGAGATAGCAGACGGTGGATTAAGGTGAAAGCGAGGCTCAGGCTCGTTCTTTATACTGAAATCCATAGGCGTTGGGAACGGAATGTCTCTTGGATAGGTATCCGCTTCTGACGTTACTGTGTCGAAAGGGAAGTTAGACGGCTGTAGATGCGGGACTGTAGAATGCAAAGAACTGTGTTGTTGTTGTGTGCATCCAAGCGTCGTTGTTATTCCCGATGGAAGATAAGGTTCATTCATTGTAATGGGTAGTTCGCTTTCTTCCATCTCAGAAATGTTATCCATTCCACTGCTCATGTTCATGTGACGGCCTCCTTCTTCGCTTACGCTTTTGCTGCCGAAATCGGGCCCCGTTCTGAAAATGTTCGGAATAGCATTAGGAAAACGGGCGCCAAGAAAGCGTGAATTGAAACTTTCCGATGTGTGGCGTAGATGTGCCGGAGTACCAAAATCTTGGGAAATGTCGAACGGTGGTAGTCCAAAAGTACTCATGCCTCCGTCCATACTATAACAATTTAAAGCTATGGCCAAACCTTTAGGTTTTCATCCTCGCTCACATCTGACTGACAGATATTTACTACGCGCGCCGTATTTATACCCCTACGTAACGATGCGGTTTTAGTGGGCCTATTGTTTCCGTGAATTTATGTATTTCCTGTGTCGTACATTTGCAAGCTCAATTAATAGTTAATGACTATCCCATGGGAGAAGTCACTTTTAATCTGTAATTTGGTGACTCTTCAAGTCCAAATCTAATTATATTGTGAATTCATTCAAGCAGACTATAAAAAGTAGAACATTATTCGCTGTTCAAAGATGGGAGGAGCATTATTATGCCATTGACAATGAGACCCTTCAGAGGCACTCCGCGCAGCCAACTTTGATCATCTGTGGAACGCAAGAATGAAAACGCGCATTGTTTGGTTTATAAGTTAAGGGCTTTACATTCTTAACAACGTTTTGCGCCGCTTCGGCCTGGCTTTACACAGAAATTTAATCCACAATAAAAGCTCTGACTAAAAGTTTGTAGTTTCCATCGTGACCGAGTTGAGCAAACATTGACAACAGGTGTCACGAACTTACAAGAATACAGATAACGTTTGCGTGGCTTCCGAAATTTATCACACGTCAACACGCTTTCATTGTAGCAAATGGAAATGAGATTTGTTTGAGCGTTTTCTAGTGGTGGATTTTGGTAATGGAAAAATAGCGCCCCCACAACTAAACAAGGTGCGAATAAGTCAGCCTTATTTACATAACACTCTCAGTGTTTACAAATGATTAATGACGACAGGTTGACAAGTAAGGTGTCGAAAAAGCTCTCCTGAGAAGACATTACCAGCGACCAGAACAATAGTTCATCTTCGACTTTCTACTTGCACGAAATGGCAAAGAATAAAATCGTATCTTCCTTCTTCCTGTGAACGTGACTCGTTAGCAATGCAATGTACTTAGGGGTCAAAAAAGAACAAATGAAGGACGCTCTAATACATTTGCATCTTTTCCAGATCTCGGAAGAATATGTTTTCTTCTACTCGAACCTGTCGTTGTGTTTTTCAGTTTCAGACAAAAGAGGTTTTTCGTTAATTTAATCAGCAGTTTATAATAAAAGCACCCAGTGGATTTTGTATATACAACAAATTAGCCATTGTTAGCTTGAAAGTCGAAGGCGGAGAATGCCCATAAACCCTTTTCACAGGAGTCGATGAATTTCGCAGTTTAATATACAGGAGGTGTATGCTTGTAAGCTGTGTTACAATTACCGCACAAGAAGAAGACGCGATAAAACTAAGAGCAGTTTGGTCTTCCGGATGTGTGTCATCTACAGTCCACTTCCTCTATGATCGAAGTTGTTTTCAAAAGGACGCAATCGTGTGAAAGCTGTCAACAAATCCACTTATACGGATGACTTGTGAATCGACTTAACCTAAATGAACAACACAACTGAAGGTAACTAATGACATTGTAATTCATCACTGATTTATTTTTGGTTGCCTGCATAAATTGTGGCGTCTACAATACGAAATATACGCTCTGCGTTGGTAGCCAGCTCTATAAAGAGCTCAAGAACCTACTAAAATAGCCAAAAATTCCACAAAGGGTTCTCTGGTTGATTAGTTTGCGGCAGTGACGACAGCGCCTCTTAATATAGTTTCTAATTATTCGATAACTCATTCAAATGGGGTCGAAATCATTGACCCAGTTAAGTGGGCAAAACTTGAGGACTCCAGATCACGCACTACAAACGAACTCATTACCTGTGCACATTCTCGAAACAAAAATTCCAAGTTGTCATACATACCATCCTTAAACTCTAAACAAATGCGCTACATAAATACGTCTAAAACTACTCTAATATCCAAGACAGAATGGCATGGCCATGGTAAATTTTTAAGTTCAGAGACTGACTTAAAATTTAAGAAAATGAAAAGAATATGGTCACGTATGTCATCTAAACACGACAGCAAAACAACAATTGTTAGTCGCACTATGATTCCGATGAACACATAAAATTAAACACATTTACATGTTTCTTTCCAACACTACAATATCCCAACATATCGTTGAAACAAGAAATTACTTGACTCTAAATGAAATCAGGGAAAACTAACGACACTTAAAAGTAAAAACAGCGCTTTTAGAGTTTTAAAAAACTTCTATCATTTTAGACAAAATAGACAAAACACTAAGTGAGATACTTTTCAAAAGAAGTCGCGACTGCGTTTTTTTCCCAAAAGCGCACATAACAAAACTTAAGAAAATACCAAATTTAATAAATGCCGAGAAACATATAGCAGCAGGCTATAGCCGCTCCTAAGGCTTTGACTCAAAATTTACAACTACATTTTCTACAGCAGAACCTCGTAAATACAACGACCACAGCTCAGTATCTAGAAAACCCAAATCAACACTTCGAGTACCTCTCCTGGGTGATCATCAAATTTTGGCAATTGTTTGGACGCTTTCGGAGGATCTGAATGTATTTTCACAACTATTTAACTCTACGTATCTCTACACAGTTTTACTGTTGTTTGTACCAATTTTACGATCAACCAGAATCCTCCAGCAAGAGAACATTTGTCTCACCTTCAGCACGTCATATCCTAACTCAGTTTCAAAGAAACAAAAAAGCGAGAAACGTAAACTGAAAAGCGAGAAACATTTACGAAGTTGTCATGTTTTATCACTGCTTATTATTACTATAAACAACAAGTTAAAACGAACAACAATGTTTAGTAATCTTATGAACACGATTTGTTTTTTTTATGAATTTAGAAACCGCGGAAGTGTTTCTTGGTTTAGTTATGTCCGGTACAACCCGACTTCACCACACAGACACAATGAGTCATAAGAATCATTCCGCCGCATATTATTTGATTTTCAATATTAAACAATAAAAATAGCCCAGCCAAACTTAAACCGAGAACTTTTTTTAGCCTTGTGGCTACGAGTATAACATCTTTTTGCAAACATATAAAAACTCATGAAATCTACCAGAAAAGCGTGCATTCGTTTTGCTCCAAAAGAGATAAGTAATTACACCTGTGAGCATAACACGGCAAACACGAGCGATCTAATAAGCGATATAGTTTTTTTCAAGCCTCTTTGGCTTCTTGAAGTAACATCTAAACGGCACAATATCAGTATCAGTATTGTTGTAATCGACGATTAAAGAATTCCTGTTCGTGTCTTCAAACGATTCGGTTAGCCTGCGTGTTCGATAGCTTGCCTCAAGGCAAAACAGCCTTCTTCTAGAAGTGTTCGAAATGATTTCGTGAAAGGTAAGTTTAATTAAGTGAACAAACAAAACATCTTTTTGAGTGTGGTTGAGAACAGACTCCGCGAATGTAGTTTCCCGTTGAACGTGGCATCTTAGTTAGGAGTTAATAAGATCAACAGAACACAGAGGTTTAATTACAAGTTAAATAGACACATGAGTATTAACGAACACGTTTTCGAAGATGAGTTCGACAGAAATCTTTACCTAACAACCGGTGCTGGAAAATTAATAAATTAAATTTTTGCCTTAAACGCTCTCAAACGACAAAAATATTTTCGTCGAACGCGGTACCATAGGCGATAATTGCTTGGACACGCCTTTCTCTTGATCTCAGTTAGCGTAAGATTTGCACGAATGCGCTTTTGTACGAACGGCAACTTGTTATAGAACCTTTTGGCACTCCCAAGTACTCCAGTTAAAACTGGAAGCATTTTTAAAATGTCAGTGAACGAAATATTGAAAATTATAACGACATTGCAAATATATTCTTCACTAGCTCCGCGAATTGTGTTTGCTATCTACGTTCACCAGAGCAGCATTACATCACACCTTGCTAAAAACGGATAAGGAGGGCTTAATAAAATTAAGAACGGGTGTTTTAATAACTACTTTTAGTTCCGAATGAAGATTCAACATCTCTGAAACTGATCTACTTGCAATAACGGAAAAAGTCTTTCGCTTATTTTCTCTATTCGCGATTTCATTTTTTTTTTCTTTTTCTGCGGATAATTAGTGTAGTGCCTGCATGGATCGTCATCAGACCGATTAAATTATCGCTAATGGCATTTCGTAAATCTAAGATGCATCGTTTCTCTTCACACAAAGAATCACAACTAAAAGGAAGAGATTATAAGTATTATAAAGGGTAAAGCTCAAACAATTAGCAAGCATTTTCAAAGAAGCTTCAGAGGATTTAGATTTCAGCACAACTCATGGAAGCTTTCGTGATGTACATTGGACGCTGCAATATTCTTCTACTGACTCCATTCACTACCTGGTCGCATATCGAAGACTTTTGTTTTAGTCACAGCATGGAGGCGAAAGTTGCAAAAAAAGCTCGCACTGTTTGCGTGTTCCTTACAGATATCGCATTTTCTTTTAATCAAATGCAAAGGAAGTCAGTTAGTGGACTACTAGAATAGTGATGCTACGTAAGGCAACAGCAGTGATGATACGCTAATGGTTCGAAATAGGCTTGTCACAAACCCAAGAATATTGTAGATTGCACATGTCAAAATGTAGAATAAGTTTGCTAAAAGTTGTAAGTTTGTGTTCCAGTATTATGAACAAAAAATTTAATTCACAAAAACACACAAGGAAGAATGCAGGGAGCAAACTTGCATTGGTTTTAGAAAAAAAACAATCGGAAAAGTGTGATTCTTCTTTTAGAAAACAAAAATAATGTCATGATTCAATAACGACTTAAAGATTCTCTAGAAAACAGCTCGTGGGTGAAAACGTCACTAGAATCCATCTATACTGGGTAAAAAGAAATGTTTTCAATGATCATTTTGAGCAGATTTTTACCAACACCTTTTTTTAATGCAAAACGGATCAAGTAAAGCACATTAAGGCTTTGATCTTTTTTTTATTATTTCGGGGTCATAGAATTTAAACAATTATCCAGCTTAATGTAGAGTTGGAAAAGTGTAACAGGCAGGAGACATTTTCCGAGCCTGTGACCTGAAACGATTTTATGCAGTCAATTAACCATTTTTCAAGATAAATTGAACAATACACTTTTGAGAGATTTATCAAAAAATCGTTTATGCAAATACTCTAGACATCGCAAGAAGATCTAACAAATCCGTCAATTGGTACCTTGAAGGAAATTTATCTTTTATAGTTCTTAATTTAAACAATGTTAAAATCATTTCAAAGACTTTGGCAATGATGCAAACGAGTCTTGATTTCGATCCTTGTGTTTTAGCCACACGTTCTTTACTTCCCCAGCGACAGCTCAAGAAAAGCACATTAAACAGCGCCACAGTTATGCTTCATCACTTAATTTCTCTTC